GCAACCCCTCCCCGGGTACCTGCAGGTCGGCCCTGCAACCCCTCCCGGGACACCTGCAGGTTCGCTTCTGGGCCCCTGGAAGTGCAGCAGAGAGAGGGAGATAATTAGGGGGGTGCGCGTCGCTCCTCAGTGCAGGAGACGCGTGGCGCCTTCTGGGCGAAAGCCTTGGGCCGAGGAGGGGGCGGGCGGGAGGCACCCGACCAGCATGCCCGCCCTGATGTCACCGATCGCTGTGTGGCCACGCGTAGCCGGCACAGCTCTGGCAACAACAAAATGCCTCACAAGCCTTGGCAGGCACGCCGGTGATATGACATGGTGCTCTTTGTCAGTCGTCTCCCGTAGGGCATGCTGTGGACATGCGGGCCGTCGGCATCGCTGAGCCTGTCCCGGGTGCACCGTCTAACGTGCCACAGGTGCAACGTCTGGTGGAGTGGCACGACCTCGTACATGGACATTCGATTCGAACCCTTTGGCCCAAGATGCCCCGCGGACCCCAAGTAATATTGAGAGGGCGTGACGCAGGAGGGGGCGCGAATGGAGAGAAGTGTTCGGGCCCCCAAAAAAGCACCGCCTCAGTGAGATTCAACATTGGTTTTCGGGGGCGGGGGGGGATCAGAAGTCCCCTCGAACATGTAAGGGCTCGAACAGCTTGTTTCTTGCTTCTTTTAATTTAGTATTCTCATGGGCAACGGGCGCTACACGCCCTCCGAGCTCAAAAATGAAAAGGTCCGGGGGCTAAAGCCTCTACAGACAAGCGACGAGCGCCGTGCGTCCGTCTCAAATGCCACTGGTGCGCGTTCGTTCTCGACCGGATACACCGTTTTCTCGTAAGAGGCTCGGAGAGGCAGTGGAGCCAGGAGGGAGGAGGAAGGAGAAGAGGACGAGGAGGAGGAAGAGGGGGAGGACCATTGTATTGTGAAATTTGCTGACATAAAAAATGGAGCGAAGTTTATCGCGACTTGCGACCGTGAAACTTCAAACTCAAGTTGAAGTGAGGAGGAGCCTAGAGGTCCCGTGAGCCTGCAGAAGGTTGGTCTCCTTACTTCGATCCGAGCGGCGCCAGAGCACCGCTTCCCTCCGATCCTGGAGTCCACGCAGAGCAGCTACCACATATATATATATATATATATATATAGAACCAGGGCTGCGGGGACGTCGGGAGGAGGTAAGCAGGACTCGAACAGTTTGTCTATCTGCTGTCACCCAAGGGCAGGGAGCGTGTCCCTTCCCCCCCCTAAAGGAGCAGCAGCGTGGCTCTTAGGAGCGTCCTCGGTCGCGGCCTTCCCGTCCGGGACGGGCGGCAGCACCTCCGGCGGCCAGGGGGCGGCTCGTGGCGCACTCCTTCCCCCTCGTCCCTCGTCCCTCGAGGGGCGGAGGAGGAGGAGGAGGAGGAGGAGGAGGAGGAGGAGGAGGAGCAGGAGGAGGAGGAGGAGGAGGAGGAGGAGGAGGAGGAGGAGGAGGAGTACGACGAGGAGGGTAGATCAGGGTAGATCAGACAATGGAGCATGCTCCCTCGCAGCCTGCGAAAGCTTAACAAAAATAAGCTTGCCAAGAAGCCCAGTGTGCTCACCACTCTGGGCCGAGGGAGGAGTCCTCCCTCTGGGCCTGCATGTCAGAGGCCTCCCGTGCACGCTCCCTGCGGCGCCAATCGACCGCCTCCCGTGGATCAGAAAAGCCATGCAACGCAGAGGCCCTATACATGTCCAGGGGGCTATGGACATCTAATCCTTAGGATGTTCCACCAGGCCCTGACCTCGAACCAACATCAGAAATGCTGAACTTCCTCACCCACTGAGCTCGAACCTCCAAGGACGGCGTACACAACTGCCATGCTTAGGAGTTGGGGACGTGGTTGAATTAGGATGCAAGCCTCTCCGAAGCCTGCTCCTCTGAGTGGCGAGTCCTGGTGCCTGTTACCTTTACAGACATCCGCCAGGCCCCCGACCCAGGCCTATGGTTCTTCTGCACACTCGCACCGCAGCCAGTGCAGAACAAAACTGGAGGATCCTCTCCAGGCCCGATTTGGGAGGCGTGCATCTATACACCGACCTGTTCGGGGCGTTTGCTTTGTTGAGTGCGTGGGCCAAAACGGCGCTAGCGCATGCCATGCGCAACGTCTGGGGCGCGTTTGGGCAGGCGCGGGCAAGGCCGCAGCGGCCCAGGCACCCATGGCGAAAAACCGCCGCCCCTGGCGAAAAACCGCCGCCCATGGTTCCGATCGCGCTTTCCTCGGCCTGGACGACCTCAGAGCCCCTGACACAGCCCAGGCTGCAGCCGAGCGCCGTCGCTCTCGGCAGCGAGGCTCGAGACCCCACCGAGGGAGAGCCCGCGCCTGGGCCGCGCCGGCGTCAAGCTCGGCTGGGAGGGCGCTTCGGCTCCGAAGCCTGTCGCGCGCGTCGCAATGCGCCGCCGCCCACTCGCTGGCCAGGCCGGTTTGTCAGCCGTGGCCAAGGGCTCCACTCTGGCCCACCAGAGGTTCCACATGTGACGTCTCTCGTTCCCAGGGTCAAGAGCCTCAGCCGAATTCGTGGCGCAACCCACAGATCCAGCACAGTCGCCGAATACTTCGAGCGGCACTCCCGAACCCTCCTCCGAGGGCGGCTCCGAGAACCGAGCCAGCATATGGAACGCGTCATCCTCCCCGTCCCGAGCCCACTGGTCGGGCGCCCAGCCCCAGAGCACCACCCCGTACATGCAGGCGACGAGGTTCTCGGCCTGGTCTACCTGCACTGCCGACCAGCCTGCCCTGCGACGCGAGCCGTGCTTCGTGCTGAAGGCGGATAAGTCTCCCCCCAGGGGTCTCCAATTGAGTTCAGACCTCCAACAATGAGGAGGAGGAGACCAGCGTAAAAGAGACGTCTTGTCTGACAGATTAATCTAACCTGATCCGCCACTCACACAATGAGTAGAACCGAAACCGAGGGAGGCGACAGCCCCATGAATAGCAAGAGACATACCCCAGGGAGGAGGCCCAGGGAGCACAGGACAAGGACGGCCCAGCGCACCACAAGGCAGAGCGCCAGCGAGACGCCCACGAAGGTGGGGACAGCCAGCGGGCCCTCCACGACGGCCAGCGCGACGAAGAAGACCATGGCCCAGACGAGGAACAGCAGCAGCACCGAGAAGGCGCAGGTCACTCCAGAGCACTATTGGGTCCAATTCGTCTCGGGCTCGTTGCACTGGCAGGTGAACCGCCTCGGTACCATACTTTTCACTCCTCCACATTCCTCGCACTCTTCATCAGAAGGTCCATCAGCCTCATCGTCAAGATCTCGCACAGGAAAACGAAGGCGGGCAGCACGAACAGAGGGAGGAGGAGGATGAGGAGGAGGAGGAGGAGGAGGAGAAGGACGTGGGGCGATGAGAAAGTGGGACAACGAGGAGGAGAGGAAGGGGAGGGGGAACGTGAGGAGGTGGATGAGGCGAAGGATGAGGATGGGGAGGGTGGAGGAGGAGAAGAAGAAGGAGGAGGGAACAGAAGGGGAAGTGAGGAGGAGAGCGGAAAGAGGAGGAGGATGAGGCGGAGGGGGATGAAGCTTTCTTCTGCTCCGCCTCCCTCCTCCTCCTCCTACTCCTCCTCCTCCTCATCTTCCTCCTCCTCATCTTCCTCCTCCTCCTTTCCTCCTTCTCGTCCTCTTCCAAAGCCAGTTTGGCTTGTGATGTTTTCCATGGGGGCTGCTCAGCCCCAAGGCAGAACAGATATGAGCGCATCTGTGTGCACGCAACAGGTTTTGTCGCAGCTGAGAGCACGAACGCATTCTGGAAATACCGCTGGTCCAAGAGTGCTTGCTTCGACGACTACAAGGCTCTGACGTCTTCCAGCACGAGGGTCGTCCAGAACAAGCCCACGGTTCCCCTTTGGTCTTGGACAGAGCAGCTCAAACCAGCCCTGGCCAGCTTATTAAAGCTTGAGGGCCAACTCGAGTCAAATATTCCCAACACTGACAAGGACGGTAGCGCCAACATGGTCGGAGATGAAACAGCGGGTGGCACGCAGTTGGATGAAGCTTCCTATGATGAGGGATGATAAGGGGCGGATATCACGCTCGAATCGCGGAGCTTGACAAGCAAATTGGCATGACTGGCAAGTGCAGTAGGGAGGCATGGTCCACACTGCGTGAGGCGCTCGTTGCTGAGCGCTTTCAGCTGCAAGGTCTGATCAATTTGCACAAGCCAGCTGGAACTGTTCACAATCACACGCCAGATTGAGGGAATGGGAAAGCAGACCGGCCGCACGGACAAGTCTGCGAAGGTACAGACTGAGAGAATCCAGGAGTTGCAGAAGAAGCTGCATTCGACGAACAAGGGAATGGCAGAGAAGAAGGTCAAGCTGGAGGAGCTGCGAGCTCAGCAGATGGAGCTCGCGCACAAGGCAGTCCATCCGCCAAAGCGTGCCACAGGAGAAGCTGAGTCAGTCAAAAAACTGGGGCTCGACGCTAGACGGGTGAAACGCTGCGGGCTCTTGGCGCTGGGGGCACTGCTGCGACCCTCGCGGATGGTGCGGCTCAGGCGCTACAAACGCAGACGATCATCAAGAATGCGAAGGTTCAGATCTTCGGCTCGATCCCGGCTGGCCAAACGTGCAGCCGAAAAAAATGGCCGAGCAGGCCAAGAAGGAGCTGGAGGCGCAAGAGCAATCAATCGGGCCGGGCCTCACGGAGGACCTCAAGCAGATGCCGAACGTCACTGTGCTGAGGCTGAGGAGCTTTGTGAGGCTGCCAGTGGGCTCGTCGAAATCCGAGAGATACGCATGTTCAAGTTCAACACGTACCAGGCATACAGAGAGCAGATGGTCCTGGAGTCTGTTGTTGGTCATGTTCGTTTTGACGCCAACCATGATGGACACTCAGCAACGTCAACGCTGACGCGGCTGGGCCGCTCATCGCATATGTCGAAGCTATTCGAGATGTTGCGCTACCGGTGCAGGAGCACACGAGTGGCATGTCAATATTGCCTTGGATCCAGTCTCCCTTTCGAGATCGTGGGCACCATGGAACGTT